TCTTTAATTCTTGCAGACTACTGCAGATTGGGAGCGCATGTATAAAAGACCATGAATACCAAACGACATGCATATCAATTTAATGGATCTCCACACACACATATATATTTTTATTGCACTCTTCAAACTTGTTTTCCTTTAATATGCAATCTTTACACATCTCTTAACTCCACTTCACATAAGAGCCTTTACTCCAACAATAATATAATTAAATAATATATGATTTTAAAGATTGTTGAATTTATTGTTAATTAAGTGTTTTCTTGCAAGTTGGGTATATGGTTTTTATTTTTATTTTTTTTATATAAAGACTATAAATTGAACTTTAAATTTATAGGTAAAAATATAGATAACTCTTCCATTAAATCACATTGCTTATAGTGCAAGACATTCGGAAATTGGGGGAAATTTTTTAAATTATTGGTGGGAATAAAACTCTTGACCAATAGAACCCAAACATTTAGGTTTAAAGATAAACCACTGGACTGAATGACTAATTCAATATATAGTTCAATTTCTAAAACCACCACTTAACGGGAAATTTAATTAATCATGCTGGTCTGGTACCCTTGGCACTTGCTTGATGAATTGGTTGATGTGACTGAAAGTGTTAAGAGTTACAAATATGAAGGCTGCCCACCACGCCTTCCTTCTCAAATTTATGGATCATATTGAACTGATCGTCCATGAATGTTTTAGATGCACTATTATAACAATTTCTACTTTTCCACTATTTTTATTTTAATAAAAATACTATTGTTACAATACCATGTGATATTGTAAATTTATAATATAATATATTATTATATAATTGATTTTTTTATTTAAAGATTTATTTGTAATATTATATAAATCTATTCATTTAATATTATGTCATAATTGTAAGTTTACAACTTATATAAGGAGGCATCTTCAAAAAAATATTTCAACATATTTTAATTAAATCATATGAGTCTATCACATATCTTTGAATCTATTCAATTTAAGTAAGACATGTGTCATCATTGTCATTATTTTAATTGCATAAAGCATGCGATGTATTGACAATAAGAGACGGTATGTCACGAGTCTATTGTCCAAAAGTCCAACATCGAGGTGGAGGCTATTTATTTTCAACTTAATTCCACTATTATGTAATTGATTAGCTTATAAAAAATTCATGTTGTGAAAATATTTCAAACATGATGTTGTGATATTTACAATCAACCATTCCTATGCATAGAAAATAAATAAATTAGTTGCACATAATCATCTCGTCGAACAAAATATTACCGGTACATGAGTCGTTTTCGGCATCTAATTCAAATCCCATCGAACAAAATGTGGAAACAAAATGTTTAATAGTTGTAA